TCTGAAAAATGGAGATTTAATGGAATTTCTGACCAATATGTAAAATAGGAATTTAGTGACTTGTCTTTTAAGATAAAGAAATTAAAGCTTTCTTAGAACCCAGTTTTATTTTTCTGGTGCTCTGAAAAATTTAGAGTTCAAATTCATTCTAATTTTAAATATAGCCAGATATACACGAGCCTATCATAAATAAGACAGTGTTTTATTAATATATCACCTCTTTTTAAACTGAACTGCTTATAAAGTCAGGTTTCTCTTTTCCTGTTTTTTTTTTTTTTTTTTTTAAAACAGGCCTCATTGCTTACAAATACCATTTCTCATCAGATCATTTGTTTTGATAGAAACAGACATCTCAGCCCTTATTTAAGTATGCAACAAATTCCCTTTTCATATGAGCTCATTTCTTTTTTCTGAACCTTTTGACAACCCAAATTCATGCAATTAATTACAGGTAATTAACTTTAATTATATATTTTGGCAAGAAAATGACTGAAGGTAGAACTAGTGTTTATAATAGTCAATAGCAAAGTTCCATTAAAAAAAATATTTGTGTATTTTGCACAAATAATAAAGGGATTGAGTTTCAAATAAAAAAAAAAAAGAAAGAAAAAGAAACATGCATATTTGACCTCAAATGATGAAAGGCTGAATTGTGTTTTTGCATGAAGGAATTTTGATGGTGGGGAAAGAAAATGTACCAATATGATCAGCTGTAAATGTATCAAACAAAACCCAATGTTATTTTAACAGAAATATCTTAATTAGATGGCAATTATTTTTTTTCCACAAAAATTTCTTTCATGTTAATTTCTTTGGCTCTTAATTATATTGACTCAAACTGTCATTCTATCTGAAATGATAGAAGCTGGAAATCGGTTGGCTCACCGAAAATTTTATTCCTAAATTTTATTTTTTTTAAGTTTATTTTTTGTAGCTTACTAACTCTTTGTGGGTTATTTAAATCTGAACCATTTTACATTATAAGAATCAATGTTTTGTGGGCAAATATCTGTTGTAACCTAGAGAAGGTTGCTGATTAGAATAATCACACAAAGGTTGGTAATGAACAATACTTAGGAAAAGAACAACACACATAAGATTTGCCAGCAGTGCGTCGCAGATGTAGTCAACTGTTAGAAGTGAGTCAAGTGAATTCCACAATGAATCTAACTGCAGACTAACATACAGTATTTGCTACTGTATTTATGTGAATGGGGACATACCCATTATCATCTGTAGGTATGCTACAACAATATCCCAGTCACATTTTTTTTTTTTTTTTTTAGAATAAAGATTTTATCAGGTATCATTCCAATTATTTAACCCATAGATGGGAGATTTGGAAAGGTATGAATATATGACAAAGTGTATCTGTGCTGAAGTGAATATAATGAACACAATGTATTATGAAGTTATATATATATATTTCCAGGTAAAATAAGAACAAATGGATTATAATTCCATTGTACATAACATTTAATTTAAAAGAGAGCTCAATACATAGTAGAGCTAAATATTTATTTTAGGATATTAAATAAAAAATGTTAAAAAATTGCTACACAATTACAAAATTTTAAAAAGGCTTTTGATATTTTTATATATACATACACACACACATATATACATATATATATATAATCAGTTATACTCATCTGGCAAAACCTTAGGTGTTTTAGCTTGTAAATGAACAAACTAATACCCAAGGGGGAAAAAAAGGTTAAAAAAAGAAAGAACTAAGAACATATACTTCCGGCGAAAATAATCATCTAGAATGAAAGTTCAGAGTCCAAAGAAAAAAAAACTGACACAAGTAAAGTAAAAATAACTAAACAAAGTGCTCAATACACTAAGTAGAGCAAACTAAGTAAACCTAAAGAGCCAGACAAACCTACCTACGTTTTGCCTATGTGGATCGTCAGGGTAAACTTATATTAGACAACTAAGAGCCTGTTTACCCTGACGATTCGCATAGGTGAAACCTAGGTAGGTTTGTCTGGCCCTTTAGATTTACTTATATATTTAAATTGTGTGTATTTAATGAAACATGCATCAATATTATATATATATATATATATATATATATACACACACACACAGTAGAGAAAAATAAGTATGTTGATATCAACTGCATTTGAATCCCAACTTAACTTGTCTATACCCCACTCCTACAGTGTTCAGTATTCCTAACCAGCTTTTATTTTCTAGACTAAGAAATGAAATAATTCTGAAAATAAATTAATTGATGATTAAATCCTGTATTCTGTTACCTTTTACCTAAAATTTTGTTTTAAGTTTAGGCATATCAATTTCTATTCAATATGCTCCCAAAATTTCTTAACACTTTATTAGATACAGAGTAGAATGTTTTCATTTCATTCTTCATGTAATCAGTCATCTTGTATTCATCTTTGTCATGCTACTTTTTTTTAATGCCATAAAATGATATAGATTCCCTCACCTGACAAAGGGACTGAGTGACAAAGGCGCCAGGTAAAATACAAGGATTATATCAAATAAATCATTGTTCTTGAGGTGATGTAATTTCCAAGCCTTAAAATTAAGGTTTGTCCTTTCCTAATGAAAATCTCCCATATGGTGTTCAAGTTGATGTAGTGATTAACCAACAAAACAAGGAAAACCTTTCAAATAAATGAGTTCCTGTATATTTGTTGACAAATTAAGAAAAAATGGTAATGAGATAACTTCTTTTAAATCTTTTGCTGTTGGTAAAAGCAAGTGATTATTGACAGGACTGATTAGATTTTGTAGAATCAGTTACATTTTAAAATATGGAATTATAAAAAAAAAACATTGACTAATTAACTTAAATTCTAAAGTTTTTACCCTTAAAATGATTTTCCAACTTCATTTTCATTGCATATTGAGAAAAGTTCTACTCCCCCCTCCCAATATTAACTTCGACCTCATATTAGACAACTAAGAGTAGATAGTGATGTCAATACTGGAGTTCCCATTTTCCCAAAATGATATCAAGAAAAGCAATACTTACGTAGATGAGGTTTTCAGAGAACCTCTTTTTCAGATTTTCCCTGAATGCATCTGGATTCTGAAAATCTTCCAGAAGCACAAAGTCCTGTACACCAACATGATCACGTTTTGTTAGTTCATTCTCCATAGTGTTGTCTTATATTGAGCACAATGTCCAATCCTGGTACCTAGCAAATGCTTAGTGATCTCACCGAGTGAGTACACAGATAATTTCGAAGTGATACGTTTAGAAACATCTGAAAAGGAAAAAAAAAAGGGGAGATAAAAATTTTGTTAAATGTCAATTATCTTTGAAGCATCAATGGGATGAAAAATTTAGAGAGAAGTTTAGAATAATATCCCAAGTTTATTAGAACACAATAAGTGCACGCATATCTCTCCCTAATATATATATATATATATATATATATATATATATATATATATATAAAAAATGCTTACTAAGTATTGATATCAACAAAAGAGACAAGTCTATCAAAATAGAGAAAGACAAAATGGCTGAGTAAAATGGTTTCACTTTAACAAGCAGTTCTCAAGTGTTCAATGCAACTAACCACTTGAGACCAGGATATTTATTTTCTGTGGCATTACATCAATAAAATAACTCATCTCCAGGACAAGTATTGCTTGTACTGTCTTTATCAGTTGCCTATTGTAATATTACCAATTTATTATCAGGTTAAAAAGAATCCGGTCAAACATTTCTCATGAGAATTCACCAGCTTCTCTCGGGGTTTATTACTGGAAGCTATTCTCTAAAAATTAGATGCACAAGACTTATGCAATAGAATAGATAAATCTTAGCAGTAAATGAGAAATTAGAAAAAAGGTTTGAAGTGTTTAACTTTTTTTGACAAGTTTAAATCGAATGATTTTAAGAGATTTTATAAACACCAAATAGAATATTTCCATTTATGGTAAGCAAATTAATGTTAAATACTTGCATTATTTACATTATTTAGACTTATCCACATCTTCATGGCATATTCACAACGTTTTTGGCCATTAATGCGTCCGCCCTTCTTTAGGTAATTGAATTTCAACTGAACTTTTATTTTTGAGTCACTGGGTAGATTGTTCTAGTTCCACGTGCCATTCCTCTTTCGGATGTCTCAGTTATTTCCCTTTAATTCAATTCTCCAAGTTTTTGGTTCACCACTGCCGTGTTCTGGTATTGAACTCACAAGGACACATGGCTCAGTGGATAAAAGATGTTGTTTAGATCCAGTGACTAGACCCAAAGAGTTGCGAGTTCAATACCAAGCCACAGCAGTGGTGAACCAAAACTTAGAGAGTTGAGTTAAAGGGAAATAACCAAGACATTCGAAAGTGGCATGGCACGTGGAACTAGAACAATCTACCCCAGTGGACGAAATAAAGGGTTCAGTCTAAAATTCCAATCACTTGAAGAAGGCCAAAAACGTGAATATGGCAATGAAGATGAGGATAATTGAATAGTATAAATAATGCAAATAATCATAATATCTCATAGATATAGACAGATACTGAAGGCATGGCACATGGAACTAGAACAATCTACCCCAGTGGACAAAATAAAGGGTTTGGTTTGAAATTCCAATCACCTGAAAAAGGCCATAGATTAAAACAGCCAAAACATTGTGAATATGACAATGAAGATGGGGATAACAGTCTGAATAATGTAAATAATGCAAGTAATCATAATACCTCATCTCAGAGATATAGACAGATAATGTTAAATAGTTCTCAAATTTGTAATGGTACAAAACCTAGATATATTGAAGTTGATATATTTAAATTAACTAAAAAAAACAAACAAAAAAAAAGACAAAAACAAAAAAGGTATAATTCCTATTATACAGCCATATGACATATTTCATATTCTAAGTGTAACCAGTTCACTTATTCACTAAAGGATTTTTGAATCTATTTCTAAATGTCAGTTGTCTTTGTACAAGTTGGACTTTATTTACTCCTTGATTTAACATAGCTTAACATAAGTTGGTCTACTGTCAGTTTTTTTTCCTGTGAGATGACACTACTTTTAAATGATTATACTTGGTTTTAATAGTAATGATGGTTTAAAATTTAATAGTAATGATGGTTTAAAATTTATCAACAATCCTCTTTGATGAAAAAGGTGGCTGCTTAAATGAAATTATACCAGCCATTTCTTTTGACAATCTCAAATTTTTTTTTTTTTTTAAACATTTTACCCCAAGTAAGATAAAGCTACTAAAACAAGGGTTTGCTGAGTGTTAGAGAATATGAAAGAAAAAAAAATCCTATTAAGAATAGAGAACAGTAAAGGAATAAGAAATAAGATAATGATTGATATTACATTTAAATCTTTGAAGATCAAAGTTGACTGTTAATGAAAAAGCCAGAAGAGAGTAGAAGTGTGAGTGAAGAAACTTAACACAGAACTTATGGTTACATTTATCCATTTCAATATATTTTCAAACTATATTTAGCTCTCAATTCTTTATTGGCATGGATTTTATAGACAAACTTTTCTGTTATTTATCAATTAAGCCTGTCTAAAATTGAAAAAGTTCATTATGATTCCTGTGTTGTATATACTATATTTGTCTTTACATTTCATTTTAATTGGATTAAATTCAAAGACAGACAAACATATGTAAAAGATGGCAGTGTATCTGGCAATCCAGGAGAATAGAAAATGAAAGCTATATAGTTCAATTCTATAGCAGAATTCTTCAAGAAGTAAAGATTAATCAAAAAGTTTTTTTTTCTAATCCACACTGCTTTCTGATAATCACAGGGTGATCAGAAAGTTGCTTTACAAGGCCACAGAAATGATTAAAAAAAAAAAAGAAAAAAAAAAAGGAATGCTGATCAAATATTAACTAACATTACTTTAAAATCAAATAACACAATAAAATGTACCTGAAGTGTTCGAGGAATTTGGACAGATTTATATGTTCATCTCTTAAGTTACCCAGTGTTTGCTGGTTTTCTTAAACATTTTACACGTCTCAGAATCACTCCACAAAAAAACAAATTTGTCATTGTAGGTATGCAAAGGAGTGATTATCTCCCTTTGGTTAAGACAAATTCACAAGGGTCATGTGACAGTTTGTAAGTGACAGGGGGTGACAAAAGAATTGCTATTTAGCATGCATAGAGACAAGGCCTATTTGCCCATACCAACTACTGATGATAGATTGCTATGGTGCTGGACATCATTTCAAGCCCACGGCAGTAAGAATAATTTTATTTTTTTATGTGCCATGCGTGATACACATTTAGTCATTCCTGTATCATTCGATACATGACTGACGAGGCAGATTTTTTTCCCTGCAGTAGGTTGCCATTTCTTTCTGTGGTAGACCAGTTGCCATTCAAGGCTATAGAACCCAGTCTGTCCTGCTATTTACCCATAGCTGAGGAGAGAAGAAAAGGATTCATACCTTTCCCACAGGGATATTAGCATGTAAGTGAATGTAATGGATTTGACTGGAATTTGAACTTGGCTCTCCAATTTCTCAATCCAAGCCACTATCCATTACTCCACCCTGCCTCTGTAAAAAGAATAAGAGATTCCAAATGGCACTTTAGAGTTTGCAGAACATTACCAGCCTGGCTGTTATCCCTTCAGGAAATATTACAAGTAAGACCCTATCACTTCCTGCCTTTCCACTCTGCTTGTTTTATTTAGATGTTATGATTTCTGTGTGGGGCAAATTAGTGACAAGTATTTATACATTATTGTATGACAGAGGTATATAAAATCTTTAATAATGCACATTTGTCATTCTTTTCTTTCAGCTATTCTGTGTATATATATATATATATATATATATGCACACACAGATATAATAATACTTAGAATGAGGAAATGAACAGATTATTATTACAATACCTCTCCTGAGAAATATAGTCATACAGATTCTTAATAACCAATTCCAAAATATTTGACTTCATTTTGTATGTCAATCCTCTTCACACATGAGAGGATCAGAAGTAGCATAAAAGTGCTATATGACGAAGGAAACTATTATTGATGAATTTCTGGAAGTTGATTCAGTACAACAAAGAATCCTATAAGGCTCAGTTTCTACATTGATCTGACCTACTACAACATATTCAGGATCATGTGTAAACAACATAATTAAGCAAGAACTTGTTCATTAATGATGATTAATTATTAGTACTTATTTCAAGTGGAAACACTTTATTGTTAAGCAGGATTATTATTGTTAAATTATTTCCAACAACATTGCAATAGCAATTAACTACTTGACTAATAACACAATCATCTAGCATTTTTTATTTTTGTTTGTGTGATTATTAGACAGCTGTAAAACTATGTATGTGGTCCTAGAGATGAGATTCTCCATTCTATATCTATGATTGTCTTGGCGATCATACAAAACTAAGTCACAGAAAGGTAATAATATCTATCATTTTTCTAAATATCACTTATGTGCTACCAAAGTCTGAATAGTGCTTTTGAGAGAGAGAGAGAAAGAGAGAGAGAGAGAGAGAGAGAGAGAGAGAGAAAGAGAGAAAGAGAGAAAGAGAGAAAGAGAGAAAAATTTTAATTAACAAGCTACAGTACTGAGAAGGGGAATGATAAAGGGAGAAAAGATAACTAACAGAGTTTAACAGGAAAAGTCAGAAGCAAAGAGAAGAACAATACAGAGACTCAAGAGAAAAGAATATAGTAAATAAAATCTCAAAGTGAATGGATAGAGGTTTGAATTAAGTTTTATGTTGTGTTATCTCTTATTGAAGAAAAGGAGACAACTAAACTACCCTTCTTACTGTAAATTTTTTATTTCTTGAAATCCGGGTGTGGACAGAGTTAAATAGATAAATAGGAACACACACACATGCCCATGCTTAAAGAAACATTCTATTTGGTCAAATGCTTTCACTTTTGGTAAGTTGGCTTTGCTTAAAATAGTAATTATCAGATTTTACAGTCTGACTCATTGACCTCTGGGCAATCAGGTTGTTAGGCAGGTCGTCCAGTTGTGTGCAGATGGTGTTGGGGAGCAAAAGGCATAAGGACATTCATAGTGGGTAGGCATCCAATCAAAGAGTGAATTAAAAATTTAGTTTTTGAAATTGTTAACTTTGTTGTACAAGCACCTTACAGTTCCACAAGCTGGTGTGAATGTGGATCCATGTTTTGAAAAGCAACATTGAAGTAGAGCCTCCTACTTGAATCTGTGGGGGCAAACAATTAAGGAGTTGACCCCCCAGGCATCATCAAACCTCTGCACATTCCTGAAGAGGTCAAACAGATAAGTCTGTGTGGTTGTTCATATGCAGGCCAAATGAGAAAAAGTTAAATTTTTCAAGTTAGATTCTTAAAGTACAAAACAGACATTGAAAATTCCTCTTTAAATGATTTGACAGTTTTTACATTCAGATTGGGTTGTCTGAGGGTAAGTAAATTGAAATGAAGTACAAGAGAAAAAATATTTAAAATAAGGGTGAGGGGAAATGGTGGCACATTAAGAAAAAAAACTTGTTTGCCCACATTATAGCAAAAATTTAGAATAAGCACCTTCAAAGAACTGCCAAGGTTGTTAGCAATGTATAGGAAAGTGGTGTGTAAATTTTTCCTCTTCTTCAACTATTGCAGGTTCCCAGCACAAACATTATCTGCTGATAGGAAGGTACCCAGGGATATGGATTCATGCCTTTCTTAAGAGTATTAGGAGTTAAATAATAAACACAGGCAGCTTCAGCTTAAATTTAAAATTGTTTTTCATTGACAACTATTACACTCCATTACATTTCAAGAGCACAAAAAAAAAAACAAACAAAAAAAAAAAACAAACAAAAAACCCACAATGTCAATGGCTGGAAAAAAGTGAAACTGACAGACAAACAAGCACAAAAGACAAACTCCTGATTAAACAGATTGTCTGCAGCTGCTGCTGAATTTGGCCCAATGGTAGGAAACTTGCTGGACATAGGAGGGCTTGCAACAGTTGTAGAATCCCTTTCCAAAACAGACAGAGCAAGACAGAGCGACGGAGAGCGGGACAAAAAGCGAGAGCGACGGAGAGCGGGACAAAAAGCGAGAGCGACGGAGAGCGGGACAAAAAGCGAGAGCGACGGAGAGCGGGACAAAAAGCGAGAGCGACGGGGAGCGGGACAAAAAGCGATGGAGAGCGGGACAAAAAGCGATGGAGAGCGGGACAAAAAGCGATGGAGAGCGGGACAAAAAGCGAGAGTGACAGAGAGAGACAAAAGTGAGAGTGACAGAGCGAGAGAGAGCAGACAATATTTCTTGTATAATAAAACAGGAGTCTGCCATTATACTTCAACAGTAGAGTTGGTTAAATGACTGAAATGCAATCATTTTTATATCCATGCATCCCCCTCCCCCGCTTTACTCTGTCATTTGAAAGAGAAAAAAAAAGTCAGAGCCTCATTTCTGACTCACAGTACCAACAATTCAAATCAAACTTGTACAATATACAGTTGATGTGTCACCAAAAGCTGGGTGTGGAACTGTCTTGTATGACAGTTAATCACAGTTAAGGATTCCCCGCCCCTTAAGTTTAGCCTATCTTGATTAGCAATTTGATTAATGAGCAAGATTTGCCCATTTTAACATAAATTAACAATGGATGTTCAAAATAAAAATTCAAACAGGATTTCAGCCATTTATTTCGTCTATCATATTTTTTTTTTTTTTAGATCAAGATTGACTCACTTTTGTTTTTTGATTTGATGCTGGAATCTGCAGCAAGTCATGTCAACTTAAAACATTTTTGCTTAAAAACTTTTTTTTAACATTTTTTGCTAAAAAAGAAAACCTTCACTGGTAAATTTTAAACAAGTGATGGATTCAAATTGATTTTTAGTATGGTTTTATCTATTCAATAATGTTCATCTAAAGTTATTTGATTTAATATATTGAACTTATATATTTGTAGTAGAATCTGGGTGTTGAATAAAAAAATGTGTCTGAGAAGTGTTTGCAACAGAGATTGTCTAGCCACCCTAGCAGACAAGTGTACACAGAAATGAGCAGATAGCACATATATATTGTCATCCACAGACTGTTTTGTTGTATCACAGCTCATTAGTGTGGCTAGACATTCAATTACCTCAAACCAGGATTAAAACTCAACTGATTTGAGATATATATCTCAAATGTGTTGTTTTCTCTTATCTCTCTCTTTCCCTCTATTCAACCCATGAGTATCAGATTCTTCAGGCCTTCCTTCCTCATTAAGCAGCCAACAAATACTCTTTCTTAAAAAGTCATCAACCTACGAGAGGGGACATATATAGTCATCCACTGACAGACTGTTTTACAGCTCATCAGTGTGACTAGACATGCAATTGCTTCGAGCCAGGATTGAAACCCAACCAATTTGACATCAGTCGGAGGTTCTCACACTTAGGCCATCAGCTTGCAGAGTCTCTGACTGATGTCCAATCAGATGGATTTTGATCCTGGATTGAAGCAATCACATGTCTGTGGATGACTATATATGCCCCCTCTCATATTTTGATCACTTTGGAAAAAAGGGTATTTGTTGGCTGCTGATATATATATATATATATATATATATATATATAAAATTCTTTTCCATTTCTGGTACTTCTTCATGTTAGTAATTACTTTTTTTTTTTTTCATTTATACAAATGAAATTGGTCCCTTAATTGTTAGAAGACTATTCTTATCTTTAAATTGTGTACCAATGCCTACTGCCCAATTAGTCCCCTAAATGTTTTAGCTGTTCTTGTCAGTATTAAGAAAAAAAAAAAAAACTTTTGGCAACAATATATCTATGAAGAGGGGTTGGTCAAAAGTTTCTTTAGATACTTTTTTTATTAGCATTAAGATGTTTTCATTATTATTTAACACTGTGCAATTAATGTAATTTATACACACACACACGTGTGTACATTTTATATATATATATATATATATATATATATTAGATAGATAGAGAGACCTACCTATATATAGCTCTGCTATTTAACACTGAGCATTGTTTTTTCTTACACTATAGAATATTTTTATGTATTTGTACAGAATTGCTTGCTTGTATAGCTACCTATATTTACCCATTTGGTTTTATATATATATATACACACACACACACACACACACACACACTATATTCAAGGAAAAAATGCATCCTATTTGTGATCCAACTTTTAGTTGTCACAACTTCCTGTGGTTTCAAATACACCTATATATTACTAGAATTATTAGTAACTATTTTATAAGAGCTTTGCTACTCTTCAGTCAGCTTTGAAATTTTACTAAAATTTGCTGTTGGTCAAAAGGTTTTAGATTTTTTTAAAAGTTGAGTTGTCCTCCATTTTAGTGATAAAGAACCAAGGTTCCATTGTATACACCCACACTATGAGTCTAGGGCCCTCATTTTTCTTTCTTAGAAAAAAAAAAGGCTTATATTATTCTTGGTATTTTGACAATAAACAAACTAGTTTTACAGGTTCCAATGTTGAAGATATGCATCAGTGCTACAGAATTGAAAACAACATTTCATTTATACAGGAACTGAAATTATTTTCAGTGTCATTAAGTATTCAGAGTTATCTACTGGGTATGTCAATAAATTCTCTGAAAGTATCCATAGATTTTGTGGTTTATATTCTATCACAATCTTCACTGCTTTCCATGATATTGTGACCTTTTTTTAAAAAAATTCTTTTATTAACACTTCACCTCTTATAACAGGTGGTAAAAAAAAAAAAAAAAAAAAAAAAAAAAAAAAAAAAAATTAACGATGACATTTATTGTTAAGAGGAATAATTTTTCAATCCAAGAGACAGAAGCTACTTAAAAGATCATTGTGTTCTATTAGATACAAAAATTACTTCGAACTATTCTTCTCATCTTGGTTTATGTTGATTTCATAGAAAGAACATTTTAATCAAATACCCTCCGGTCATCATCAGGTGCTCATTGTTTGGCTGATATAGGATATCTTGTATTATTTTTTATTTCCATGAATCCAGTTAAAGTTTGTTCCTGTTGAACCTGTGCTTCACCCAATCCATAGATTGAACACACAAAAACTAGATAACAGTAACACTTGTATAACCAACTCCTTTATCCACTACAAAAACATCTCAAAAGAGTGTATTTTTGGAGCCTTTTATATTCAATGCCAGATGGTTTTTGACATTTGGTTATGATGTCAGGTTTGTACTGCTTTTCATAATTGAGTATTTCATTTTTGAGATGAGGTCATCTCAGAAATAAAAATTATTTTGATCTTATCAAACAGGTTAAGATTTATTTTAAGTCTTGTCCTTCATGTTCTTTTGTTATCTGAATTCTGCATTGAATACAAACTGAAGATAATCAAGGACTTTTTTTAAATCATTTCACCCCATGCAAGGCAGTAGAGCCACTAAAATGCAAGGGGTTACTGAGTGTGAAAGAATAAAAAATAGAAAACATTATGAAAGAGTGAGAACAACAGAAGGGTAATCAAGAGGACAGTAGATAACAATTGACACTGCATTTAAATTT